TACAACTACCCATATTTTTCGGTTTTTGTTATATGGCCTTAGTTAATTTTTTATTGCAATTTTACTATGTAACGTACGTTTTGAGGTCTCCGTATATTAACGGTATGCATTGAGGACAGGGACTCAAAGTATACGCTAAGTTTACCAGTCGGTCATTTTTGTCCAGTCCCCAAAGTGTGCGGTAGAATTTTCGGCATTTCTTGTATATCACGTAAACATTGAGGTCATATATATTTAATGTTACGTTCACTTCGGGGTCCGGGACAGCGAAAGGGGTTACCGTTGTCCCTGAAGTACTCGTTTTATACATTGCCGTATATTTGTTTGTATATATACTGTTTGTATACAGAACGTTAGTTTTGGGGTCCACGTGAATGTGCAGTCTTCGAAACGTGCATTACATACATTGGCAATTATATTTGTGAGACCATTCCTTGTAGTTTCTCATTTGTCTTTGGATGGCTTGTTAGCCTAGAGAAGGAGACTAAAACTGAAGGATTGTATAATTATTTACCATTTTTCCCGGTTACTGTTCGACTTGAATGGACAATTCGTCTGTATACAGTTATACATACATTTTACGAATCCCGATGGACTGTGGTTCCTGAAAAAAAAAAGTCTTCGCTCATTCTGGATGTGCAGTTTCAACAGCAACATCATCAATATTGTTGTTCAAGGATCGAGAGATATAGGATTTTTCGTTTAGAAAAAATGAAATGCATCATCAAAATTCGATTGTATTTCAAATATATGCTAATGTCTGTTGTTACAGAAGTCTCAAATGTAGCTTATTATTTTTAAATTTATGCTTATATCCTACATTGCATGCATATACATGGCCGCAAGTCTGTGTCACCCAACCCATATAAACCAGTAAGAAAATACGATGTTTGAGAATTTTTTTTATTTGTTTTCATTCATATTTTTTATATTAGGACTTTCTTCTAAATTGACATTTTCTCGTTGAAATAAGCAGTTTAACACGTCGATGTGTATAATTCCATACTCGTCATGCAGGTAAACGAACAATAGTGTTTCCGGTTATTAGAAATGTTATAACACGTCTGTGCTCTAACGACACGTTTTACATCTGTATGCGAGTGCTGCTTTACGACAAGTATTCACACAGTTGTTTGACAAAGTCATGCTTACATTAAATGCTTTTTATATTCCAGTTATTCACGACACTTTCCTTGCAGAATACTATACCAACAATCGTGCATAATTTACGCTATTACATTATTTAGGTATTTTAGTGTCTAGCAATTTCTATAATTACCTATGAGGTAAAAATGTAATAGTTTAAGTTATATACTATTATCGGCAAGACTACAGTACATATATGCATATAGTACACGTATATCGATACAACATTTATTTCGTATCTATACCAATGCAAATTTACAACAGTTGCACCATACACACAGTCCGTCGAAATTTCCTCATCAATATCCAGAATTCATGAAAGCCGTTCACGTTCCCTTTTACGGCAGCTAGATTTTCTCTGGTTGTCGATCCAGGTCTTTAATTGCTGCGGTTGCCTATTTTGCAACACTTTGTTTTTTTGAATTATTTCTTGGCATTCCTTCAGACTGGGCAATTTGGCAATTTTTGAAGGATCTCCAAAATATTTTGTTACGACTTTTTTTTCTGCGTCTGTCCACCTTGTTCGTTTTGTCTTTCCAAATGGCGATCCTGAAAACATTTTTCAAGTGTTATTACATCTCAACTATTGACATTTACAACTATGATTGCATAATTTGTACGTTCAAAACTTACTGCTTCTACGTTTTCCGGTTGACGATGTAGACTCCAAGGTAGAGTTGCCCGCAGAACTTTCAGAAGTTTCAAAATAAGCATTTTTCCGAGGTATCTCTTCAAATGGACTCTGCAAGCAGCCATTATCCTCGATATCTTCATTATCTTCCGCATGTTCTTCCTCGCCTACATCGTCACCCATAGCAGCTTCCAGTAAGCGAGATACACTTGTAATATCCGTCATGGGAAGTGGTTGTCGATATACGTTCTTGTGTATTTGTGTATCGTGACCCATAAAATTAGCTAGGTCTGCTACTCGATTTTCTTGAATTCCTAGCATTGCGCTGTGCGTAGCGACTTGTTTGCGCAACTTTGTTCCTCCTAGAGTATCTGGTAATGATGCGTCGCATTCGCTGGCAAATTTTCGCATAAGGTTTCACGCCCGCAAATACTTTTTTCGTAATGAATGAGTATGCGGAATTCCAAAAACAAATTCATTGTCGAGTTTAACACCGGCGCTTTTGCGATGTTTCAAAATCATATCGATAGATTTCTTCATTAACGGATCTAAGAGAACAGGTACAGTCCTGCCCAATTTTCCACGAATTGACAAACGAATGAACTTTTTTGCACATAGTTGTGCTTCTTCTGAGAGATTATTATACAGATCCGGGTGTACGTTTTTGTCGAGTGTTTCATAGTTTTCATAATCTGTAATCAGAACTCGCTCAATTTCTCCAGCTCTACGTCTATTGAACATCTGTACCAGGATCAGTGCAGCTTCGGCTAAGGTTTGCCACGCCGACTGGGAATATCGATTTTCCAATATGTTCAAAGCATCTACGCATTTTTTCTTCAAGTAGCTGTTTAAACATTGAATATCATTCTTAGACGGAAGAATTGTGCGTTTCTCGCGTCTGTTTTTAGTTTGGTCTTCGAGTACTTTTCGATTTATAGTTGTGGGGAAGTCGTCATTAATGAGCAGGAGGAAATCTTCCGTATTCTTCTTTCTTAGGTCATCCTTCTTTTTTATACATTGCGCGATAAGCATGCGTCCGCATTCTTTAATAGGGTGCCCAGTTGTGTTGCATTAGCTGGTGATTTGAATAACATTTTCTCCGAATCGTATTTAGCACACTCCTTTACGGCTTGTACTGTTGCATCGTAAAATGTTGGATCATAAACGGATGCAAAATCTGTGATCTTACCGTTTAATTTTTTTATACTGCACATAAAACGACCAAGGATACGCAAATGGGACCGAATCATGTCATGTTGATGAATCTGTGTGTATTTATCACATAATTTATTACCATAAAGAATAACTAATTCGTCGTACTTTATTGTCCTTGTAACTTCATCATTGTTGAGTACTGGAAAAACAATTCGGCGAAGTACATCATTCGCACATTCGTGTATATATCCAGTAATTCGCTTACTCACTACTGCTATTTCTCGTGTTCCTTTTTTTATGCGTCTCTTTGCATTTTACAAAGTGTTGTCGTATGCTTTGTTTCGACATATATCCTTTGCATTTGGAACAACATAGATAATCTTCAGCTTGTTTCATCATAGTTGGCATACGTCGCCTGCATACTATCAGATCACTCAAATCGTCCTTTGCACTGGTATTATAGAGAAAGTCACCACTTTTCCGGATAGTCTCAATAATCTTTATCCTTTCTTTGTTACCTTTTGGAAAGTTGATGAATTTTTTAACGTCCGGTTCGCTCTTATGCTTTGTTTCTAAATGGCGGGCCAACTTTGTTTGTAATGTTTTGCAGTATTTGCAGAAATGTTTCTTTATGTTCCTTTTCCCATTTTCTGTTATTGATGCAGGCACTGTGCGTTTGCGACTATCTACCGATGGCCTCCCATTCAGTAACGTGACATCGAAGCTTTCATTCTGGTTGTTTGTATTTACTGACTTTTCCGAGATATTCGAACTATCTTTTAACGTGCTGTTCGTGTTGAAAGAATATATATATGTGGGGTCTTGTATTGATAAATCATTCTTATTAGGACTTTCGCCGTCAGATGTATCCTCTATAATCGGTACATCACGCTTGTCCTTATTGAAATCGTTCTCAGTTCTTATCGACTCTATTATATCATCTTTGTCAATCTCATCTTCATCATTGCTGTCACTACTACTGCTTTCTTCGTTACTATCGACATTGTATCCATCGGAACTGTCATCGTCTATCGTTCTATTGGCGCTTTCTAGTACGTCGTCGTTGTTAGCGATAGTGTAGTCCATGTCGATGTTGTTACAATTTTGATACTTATCACTTAGATGGTTCTCATTCTCAACGGTGACATCCTTTTCAATTTGTTTCTTTTGACCATAATTCTGACCAGCCTGCTTTTCATTACCATTATCGATATCGTTATTTTGATCCTTCTTGTCGTTATCTATGTTCTTGTTGTAGCTTTCTAGTTTGCCGTCGTCGTTATCAGTAGTGTACCATTCCGATGTTGTTGTTGTAATTTGGATATTTATCATTTATGTCGTTCTCATTTTCAACGGTGACATCCTTTTCAACAAGTTTCTTTTGACCATAATTCTGACCAGCCTGTCTTTCATCACCATTATCGATATCATTATTTTGTTCTTTCCCGTCGTTATCTATGTCCCTGTTATTGCTATTTAATTCGCCGTCGTCGCCGGTAGTGTAGTCCATTCCGATGTTGTTGTTGCAATTTTTATATTTATCATTTATGTGGTTTTCATTCTCAACGGTGACATCTATTTCGACAAGTTTCTTTTGACCATAATTCTGACCAGCTTGTTTTCTTACTTTGTCGAAGTCGTCGCGAGTCGTTTCGGAACTATCATTTTTTTCAATAAACTTTTCCTTATCACAAATACTGTTGCAAATATTGGTGTCTAATATCTCATTACCATCGTTGACATCTGTATTGTAATGGTATGCAGTTTTGACCGTGCTTATGCACCGAAAAAGTGCATCCTTCGAGGGTTCGAGCCTCACGACTCCTGAGACCGAAATTAATTAAAATTATGGTATATGAAATAGAACGAGACTGGCGAGAGAGCGAGGAGAGCGTTTGCGAACGATCAGCTGAGCGCGTAAATATTATGGCGAGTCGGAAGGCCTGTCCGCGAGAACCGGTTCGAGCGAGTTTTTCTAATGATAAGCGCTCGNCTGTTATTGTCTTCGCCAATATGAAAACATTTGCTATTTGTACACCGTAAGTCCTTTTTGTTATCAATCTTATATTTCAACATATCTTCGTCGATCGTATGAAGCAATACAATTGCATTTTTTATTTTATTTGAATCGAAGTCTTGATTGGAATTGTTACGTTTGTTAGAGCAAATGTTGTTTCCGCTGCTGTCATTTGTTTCAATCAACGAGAGAGAAATGTCATCATTTATGATTGCTGCAGTTTCATTGGGCGACGAGTGATTAATATATTCTTTTGATTGAGCCGAGCGATTTGAAACTTCTAATAATTTGTGTTTCTTGGGTCTTCCATGTTTCGTAATGCATGTCCGTGTTTTTCGTCGAGGAGATTTGGACTTTTCGGGGGGGATTTGTACTTTTGTTTTAGGAATACGTTTAGATTCCATCCGCTTTTTTAGATTCTCTAAATCACTTCTTGAATCTATAAGGAATGTAAATTGGACATGTTTATGAAAATTATTTAATAGGGATAAAATTAAAATAACACATCTCTAAATGGATACATGTTATGATTTTTTTTTAATACGATTTGTATTTGTTCCATCAATATAGTTCGATCTTATTTTTATAAATCTGGACATATACTATTTTATAATATCATTACGCTAATCAATCCAATTTCATCCAAAGCTGATTTATAGAATTAAATTTTCTGTTGCAAACACGAAATTAGGCTTAAACACTGAGAAAATAATTTCTTAGATTCAAAGAAAATGATTTCTCTGAACAATGTTAATTTTTATTAAGTAACAGTGTTTTGGCAGAGAGTACATGTAATTAAACCAAAAAATATTTACTCTTCATTCAAATAAATTATAATATTCTGAGAATTTTATTGAAACTGTAACGTGCTTAATTGCAACAAATTACGAAATATTTTATTCGATCTATTGAAAAAAATGGTTCATTAGGCATGAAAACATTTTATTNTAAATTATAATATTCTGAGAATTTTATTGAAACTGTAACGTGCTTAATTGCAACAAATTACGAAATATTTTATTCGATCTATTGAAAGAAATGGTTCATTAGGCATGAAAACATTTTATTTTGTTGATCGGAGAAAAAATTTCGGAAAACAAATTTTTTTCTGTCAAGGAAATTATTTGTTTGAATAAAGATAAAAAATTGGCGTTAAGTATTCGGTATCGTTCGCGCATACTTTTAAATGTATTTGACGCGAAACTCTACTGAGTTTCCTGATAAAACAAATGGTTTTGATTTCATACATTGTTATTTAAAAATATAAAGTATTCGATCCATACAATGCATCAGAGTTAACAATTCGCATTTTTGTAGTGAAGAGTGTATTTCTTTCATTCTATGCTGAAGACTTTTTAACTCCATTCAAAGAAATAATATTCATGATAGAAACACATTTTTCCCTCACTGCAATTGTTGCCATCCGCCATAAGTACGGGTAAGATGGGGAAGTTCGCCAATTTTTATAAATGCACCAAATGCTTTTGAGCTGTATATGGATACTGAGAATTTATGCCCGAATATACAGCATTCGTTACCTGGATGACAGTATTGCTGACAAAATATGGCAATGTTGCTGATTTGATACCGACGTTTTGGCTGAAAAGATTTGAGCTGTTATCGAGATAGAGACTGCAAAAGGACAAATATGTTTGGCAATGTTTTCGCCCACTATAGTTGTTTTTGAACCGTTAGGTACGTTTCCGAAACGTTCTCGAAATATTGTGAATCTATTCGTAAAAAGAAAACATTTTATATGATATTAAAGGTAATGTCATAGGATTGTCATTGGATTTTGTATGGATGAATTTGTCTTTCGCCATAATATCGATAGAAAGTAATTATATCAATATTTATTTTACCGAAAAAAAAGACGGATCGATATTGATGGACTAGAAATGACAGGTAGTATAAAAAATTCATTGCGTCGATTGTTTTCCATCTCGAGAATGTGTAATAGTGGCACCACCTTTTGTGCCCATCTGAAGCTACCATTAAACATATCCATTAAAATTCGAGCAGAAATGATAGTTCTTATCGAAATCCGTAAAATATCAAAACATTCCCGAGTTTCATGACAAAAAGGCAATAGAGAATTGCGACATAAGATTCAAATTTTTGAATATTTACAGCGTCGCTTACATAGAAACGAAAATGAATTAACGCGTCCATTGAGCTTATCCAATAGATCGTTAGATAAATTAATATTAACCCTTTCGTGACGACGCACCTGTATCATACTTTGTCACATTTTGCGACGGCACGACTGACCACGTTGGCACGTTACCGCCTCTCGGCGGAGCCTCTGCAAAACAATAAGTGACTGCCGTATGTAGACGGCGTCAGCCACTGTGATGCACCAAGTGACTGCCGTATATATACGGCACCCGTCGCGAAAGGGTTAAATGTAATAAATTCACTTACCACTTCCGTGTATCAAATGTGCGTGATATTGTGTCCTACCCTTATAACCCACTACACAATTTTTTCCATCCATATGTTGTACTTTCTTTGTTGTTGTAATATAATATTCATCATTGTCAAATCTCACTAACGAAAACATATTTATACGAAGAGCCAAATGCACACACAGACACTAACACAATTGACACGATCGCGTAATTTGAGTTTTCAACTGATCATTGCAAATGAATCTTTGTTATTCGTTGAATCAGTCGCATAGGGAACCGCAGAAGTAGAGTCTAAATAAATGAAGAGAAACGATTTCAGATCGTCTGTCTGCCTTTTATTTGTATACCTCCGATTGATTTATAAAATTTCATTAAAAGAAGTATTTCAACACGTGCTTTAAAGACAATTGCGGGTTAAAAACACTGCATGTAATTAAAAACATGGATCCTAACTCGTTAGAGCGAAGACCACTTGAGTCAAAGGAAATTAAAGTCTTAAAGTGCATTTAAGTATATGTCATTCCGCAGCGGCAAGTAGAAGTGACCATCAGATTTGTTGAAAGAAACATTTTACTAAAGCAAATTGCGACTATTTTCGATTACTAAAATGACAATAAAATACTTGTCAGAGGTTACGTATTACTTCCTGAAACTGCAGGAGTCAATCAAAGAACAGACAATCTTTTCTGTTAGCTCTCCTACGCCGACGAAGAATAGTCCGGCAAACTCAACACAGAGCAGGATAAATCAATGTGTTCATTTATGTTGATTCGTGCCTCATAGACTCACGTATTACAGTATCATTCATTTCTGCGGCTATGTTTTTAATTACTGAATTCGGGATTTAAATATCTTTTAGTGTTTTTATTTGCTCAAGCTGTATGTGAAAGGAATTTCTTCGATACTTTCCTCGACGGGACACTTAGAGAGTCATGTAGAACAATACTGACATTACATTTTAAACTGTTGCACAATGACATATTTCAATCATTTGACTGTATCCTAAATAAATTCGGTAAAATCACAACATATTTATACAAGAAATTGTTGACTGTACATTGCAACTTTGGGCCCGAAATGTTCATGTCGAGGATACAATGGAAGATATAAATGCAAACATCCGGCTCTACGCAAAAGAAACACGTCAGAAAATTAACAGACACGCATGGATATACATACGATAAAGTAACGTCAAGCCCATTCCCAAAAATAAAGATATGCTTCAAGATAAATATCACTTTCGATTTAAATGTCACCACACGTGCAACAGCAGTTTCTTATTACAGGAATCGGGCCCATCCATTAGATTGCATGTATGCAACCACGTATATTGCAGTTATTGCTCGTAGAAGTTACACTTGGACTTCGGCGGAGCATGATCATTAAAGCATAGCAGTAACTTTATACTGGCATATTAAAAATACTTATTAAAGTTATTTATTTGTACAAAGAACGTCCATGAAATGTTCTCATTTCTTATCAATAAACGCACTTATTGTTTCTATGCATACATTATCAAGGATGCAAAACGTCCATCCTGATAGCATACCATACCATCCTGAACTAACCCTAAAACGAATCGGACCGTTTTATAACAAACTAAATATTCTGAAGGCAAGTTACGAGAAAACAATTCGCCACAGCTGTATCCTTTTACGTTAGTCTCATTAGATTATGTACTGACAAGTAGCATACAATACAATAAATACCCACAGTTTCACAGTATAAATGNCAGTAATACTAAAATAATTTTCATTAATTGTTTTTGTTTATAAATATTTATTTTCTTTAGGAAATCCTTTCTGCCCCTCGATCGATTCGAATTCCGCGCTGCTCCCGCCGCTAGTACTCTGCGCGGCCGGAGAGGGCAGTGCGAACCAGGTGCAAGCCATCGATGGAGTCCAGTGTAGGAACTTGT